AGGACATGCATGTACATAGAAGAGCAGAGAGGGACTAAGGGAACCCCTGACATAAAAAAAAGAGCCCACACTTTTTGTGTTCAGAGACAAAAAAGCGTGACCCCCTTCAAAGGTAGAATGCAAAGGGAAACCCCGGCAGTTGAGAGTGCAGCGTAGCTTTAATGTTATCCGACACCTAAAACTCAGGCGTCAACCTCATCCTCAGAAAGGTCCCAAGTTTTGGAAATTCCTTAATGGGAAGGTGACTTGGGTGGCCCCAAGGAAAATAGAAAGGCAACGCTTTTGGAAGCGAACCCGTAAAAAGGCGCAGTGTCTTTTTAGAGCCCTAGTCCGTGTAGTAGGAGAACACAGGGAAAGTTGCCTCGTAAGACAGGAAGGAAAGTTTCCCTTTGAAAGTGATGTCAGTCAGGAAGGGGCTCATATAGGTGAAAGCTGGCACAGAGGTGCCAAAGTAAAGAGTTTGGGCTTGTGTGTTCTGCCCCCTACGGGATCAAAACAAAGGGGGGGGATATGTGGCAGTGCGGTATCCTGCCACGGTGGAAAGCACGATGGAGGCCCAGGATTCTCAACCTTACAGGTTGAGGGGCTCCAGGCAGATCTCCTAATGCAGAGAAAACTGGTTTATCAGTTTCCTCTTTGGTTGGTAAAGCCTGTTTTGGGACCTGTAGCCTGGAGATTTCTTAGAGATTTGGGAGGGATGAAATCTCCAATCCTGGGCCCATATTTTGGGAGCAGCCAGTGTGCTGATTGCACAGGTGTGTGCAGGCCTTTTAGGGGAAGCCAGGCCATGATTCTGGGCTCCACCCCGGCAAACGGAGTCGGGAGGGCTCCACCCCAGCAGGAGGATTCCACCCCGGCAGGCAGGAGGTCTCTGCCGTGGAGTCAGCTGGGCTACACCTAGGAGAGGTGGAAGCCAGACTAGCTGTGTGCTAGTGCCATACTTTGGGAAGAGTCTGCAGGAGGCAGACTTAAAACTGCATACAAGCCAGGAGGCTGAATACTGTTCATTTGAATTCGTGTGATGGTGGATACCCCTGCGTGGGAAACCTTTATGTTATTGAACTGTCATTTAAATAAAAGTGGGCAAACAGGCCCTTAAAAAATAAGCGAGTTGCCGTGTGCTTTGAAGAAGCTCTACCACTTGAAGCGAGTTCCCACAATATATATATATATAAGGTGCAGCGCTAAAATAACATAAATAACATATTATAAATCAAGTGCAAATATCAGATCACACTAAGGTGAGATTGAGTGAAATGAAAAGTCCCAAAATAAAGGCCCAGCGTGGGGATCAGATAGATCCTAATGGGTGCGTGGGATAAAGTTCCAGTGTACCACACGGTGAATCTGGGGTAAAAATTGCGCACTCACCAGAAGTGCGTAGAAAATACGCATGTAAGATTTATCCTGTAGTATCGGGTAGCGGTCATCAATTGCCAAGATAAGGACAGGGTCATACACCTTCCAATCGCAACTCGGGTTGGGTACTCCAAAATTCTTAAACATGTCTCAAGCGTGTCACCATCTGGAGTCCCCTTTTTGAACAGGTTCTGCAAGTGGGGACTTCTTTATGCACCGTTTAATGATGGATTCGGCGGCAAAGACCCGCTCCCCGACTGCATGATCAGACCTCTGATGACAGCCCCTCCCTCCTGCACAGCCATTCACTGGGAAGATCAGTGCACTGCTGTTTCTCCTTTCTCAGCTCTCTGAGCTCTTTATGCAGCTACTATCTATCTATCTATCTATCTATCTATATATATATATATATATATACACACACACACACACACACACATTTTTTTGCCTTTCATTTCTATTTTAAACTGAATAGGTTGCTTTACAATCACCTTAACTCTTCTAATCCCAGGTATCCAGTTATTTTTTAAAGAGATTTGTTCACTGGAAACACTAAAGATTCACTTAGCTCAGATTACCTGCCACAAATTCACAAGATACCCTTTATGTTCAGTTACTTAAGATCTTTAATCTCTTGCCAATGTTTTTTGTCTTTTAGCCTGGGTTCAGATATGTGCGGTACGGTATATTGCATGTGATTCGCACAGGACCCACACCGCAGTCCTGTGCAAATCACATGCGATTTGTGTGTGGTATGATTGGAGCCATACATTTTGTATGGCTCTATTCGCACCGCACCCGCACCGAAAACATGCAGGACCCTTTTATGGGTCCAAACTAGAATCACACCTATGCGATCCGATTCTGCACATTGCACCACGTTTTGTGGACCGCATTTGGGGTGTTAACATACACACCCGCAGCGGTTCACATGAACGGGGTGCGATTCTGATGCTCTGCGAATTCCACACCGCATCAGTGTGAAGCAGGGCTTAGTGTTAAAGTGGCAAGGTGGTAAATTATCTATTCTAGGTTCTTATTGTTGCCTTTAAAGGGGTATTAAACCCAAAACCAAACATGTAATATATTGCAGCTTTTTCTTCTGGATGAGTTCAAGTAGGCTTATTTTCCTGGATTTGCCCAGACTTTTTATATAAAGGTCTCTTGTTATCTATGGGATATAGCATAGCAGAGCAATACAAAGCGGCGTGCTTACACAGTAAAGCACACACAGTAAAACAGCACAAAGTTTTAACCCTTTGATCGCCCCAGATGTTAACCCCTTCCTGCCCAGTGTCATTAGTACAGTGTCAGTGATTTTTTATTAGCACTGATCACTGTATTAGTTTTAGTGGGGATGTCAGTGGCAGTTAGTTCCCCCCCAGTGTCAGAATGCCCGCCGCAGTCCCGCTATGAGTCACTGATCGCTGCCATTACTCACGTAAACCAATTAATTGTCTGTGCGTTTTTTTATTTTTTGCGCTTTAAACAAAAAAAGACTGACGATCAAATACCGCCGAAAGAAAGCTCCATTTGTGGGGGGGGGGAAAAAAGGACAAAAATTTAATTTGGGTGTAGCGTTGCACGACCATGCAATTGTCAGTTAAAGTAACGCAGCCCCGTGTCGCAAAATTGGCATGGTCAGGAAGGGGGGGTAAATCCACAGAGGGCAAGTGGTTTAGTAATTTTGAGCGATTGCCAAAAAATATAGATTGTCTTTAGAGGAAGGTTCTCATATCTTTATATGCCTCAAAGTAATAGAAATATGGGAAACCATGAATGTAAAAATCAGAGAATGTTATAATATTACATGAAAATACATGTGCCTTATAAATATGTTTTTTGTTTCTGTAATAAAAAATGCTGGGTGCAGTAACTAAAAGCAATGCATATCCACACACAGAATCAACATGTAGTCATGCAGGTTCCTTTTAATCAGCATTTAATCCATTACATATTCTACGCATGGGAAAACCATCTACCAAATGAACACCTGCCCTGGCACATCATAGAATTCACTCAGCACTCCAAAAAATGATAGAATCCAACTGCAATATTCTTGCACTGTCAAAACCTCCACTTTTATTATCACACAACACACAGGAGGATATATCTTATAGTCATCACAATCTGCATAATAACACACACCAGTAAGAGTGTGATCATTACAGCATGAAATACACATCAATTGATAGCGTCACAGCATAGAATTAATGCATTACCAAAGCTATGTTAGAAGCTGGGAAGAACAAATCCCATTGGAACCAAACTGCCCAGGGGGTCATAGAGAAGCCGTAGGCGCGACCACTCGATGAGCCCATATAGCCTTGGCAAAAATCCGAGCGTCCTCTGGTCACTAAGGGGGGGGGGGCTTCTACTAGTCCCGCCCATACCTCCGCCTTCTAAACCAATTTTCTGGAAGCTGTCCAATAGTGGGCGGCGCCACACCCACCACAGGAGGAGCTAGCAGATGGGTTCTGCGAGGATAACAGAGTCACGTTCAACCGCCATATTTGTTATCTGAAAATTTACACTTTTGCTTCTTATCTACCCCAAAACTTCTTCTCATCTCTCCCAGACTTAAGGATTTCTAACTTCGACGTCTTTAAACAGGTTTTTATCTCCCAATGTGAGGTTACTAGATGTCATAAACACGTTTCATTCCATAAACAAGTTTTTATCTTGCTCTCAGCAGAAGATCTTGTAACTTTTGTTCCTTTGACCTAGAGAAATGACACATCAGTCACCTCTCATGCCCCTGGCATTTGGGCAACAAATATTGCTTTATTGTAAAAATTACCCAAGAAACATAGGATCCAAGGTCAACACATTTCATAGGCATTACAGTTTACCATTTACACTTAAAGTAAATCTAAACCCAGTCACTAAAATCCCATATAAGTGTAATTTCAAAAGCTTTTAATACACTATATTATCAAAAGTATTGGGACGTCTGCCTTTATATGCACATGAACTTTATTGGCATCCCAGTCTTAGTCTGTAGGGTTCAATGTTGAGGTGACCCACTCTTTGCAGCTATAACAGCTTCAACTCTTATGGGAAGGCTGTCCACAAGGTTTAGGCGTGTCTATGGGGATGTTTGACCATTCTTCCAGAAGCACATTTGTGAGGTCAGGCACTGATGTCGGATGAGAAGGCCTGGCTCGCAGTCTCCGCTCTAATTCATCCAAAAGATGTTCTGTTGGGTTGAGTTCAGGACTCTGTGCAGGCCTGTCAAGTTCCTTCACCCCAAACTCACTCATCCATTTCTTAATGGATCTTGCTTTGTGCACTGGTGCGCAGTCATGTTGGAACAGGAAGGGTCATCTCCATTCCCTTCACTGGAACTAAGGGGGCAAGCGCAACCCCTGAAAAATAACCCAACATCATAATCCCCCCTCCACCAAACTTTACACTTGGCACAATGCAGTCAGGCAAGTACAGTTCTTCTGGCAACCACCAAACCCAGACACCATCAGATTGCTAGACAGAAAAGCGTGTTTCATCACTCTAGGGAACACGTCTTCACTTCTCTAGACTCCAGTGGTGGCATGCTTTACACCACTGCATCCAACGCTTTGCATTTCACTTTGTGATGTAAGGCTTGGATGCTGCTGTTCGCTATGGAAACCCATTCGCACTGTTGTGCTAATCTGAAGGCCACATGAAGTTTGGAGGTATTTTTAGCTATTGACTCTGCAGACAGTTGGTGACTTCTGCGCACTGTGTGCTTCAGCATGCGCTGACCTCTCTGTCATTTTACGTGGTCAACCACTTGGTGGCTGAGTTGCTGTTGTTCCCAGTTGCTTTCACTTTGTTATAATACCACTAACAGTTGACCATGGAATATTTAATAGCAAGGAAATTTCACGGATGGACTTATTGCACCGGTGGCAACCTATCACAGTACCACAATTGAATTCACTCAGCTCTTGAGAGCGACCCATTCTTTCACAAATGTTTTTAGAAGCAGTCTGCATGCCTAGGTGATTGATTTTATATGCCTGTGGCCATGGTGGTGATTGGAACTCCTGAATCCAATGATATGGAAGGGTGCCCCAATACTTTTGGCAATATAGTGTATGTTTTTCCTATACAGATTTCATTAGAATATTAACTGATGATCCTACCATGATCAAGTACTTCTGTTATGGGGGCCACAACTGTTTCCCAGTTTTGCTCTTACATTGTCATCCTGTCGCTTGTTCCCTGAGAGATGACTACAAGCATGCAGGTATGGTCCACAGTTATCATCAGGAAGCTGGCCCCAGTGATGATCTGCAGCTAATGCTGGAGCAAAAACATGTTACTGAAAGAGGCTGCAGGAGATCAGCAGCACTAAGATGCAAAAAAAAGAAAAAAAAGCGATAACTAATCTGGGGAATGATTGTCAAATCTTTGACACAAACCCTGGAATTCATAAAGACTGGTGTAGGCAGATTATGCGAAAGTGTCTCTAATGCATTCTAAAAGTGGTAAAGAATGCACCAAATTCATGTACATATTTACAACTTGTACTTGAATTTGGCTCGTGCTATGCCACTTGTGCATGTAAAGCAGTTGCACAAAAATCTCTGCGAGACGGGTTTTTTTTCCGTATGCCAAAAGAAAGGTGTTCTTAATTAGCTCCACTTTTACATTTGACACGTTCAGTGCAACACAATGTAGAAATGGCGCATTTTAGAACTATCTGAATTTGATACACAAATCGCTGTCAGAACCAAAAGTGTTTCAAATGCTTCATGAATTTGGTGCAGTACATTAACAAGAGGAATACTTTGCCAGAAAAGTGGTGCAGCTGCTTTCTTCCCCTCACAGTGCTTTAGCAAATTAAATGTTGTCCAGTTAGGGTTAATATCTACTTTAAAGCACTGTAAAGTGAACACCAGCATACAATGGATATAAAATAGCCCTGTTAAAATGTAAGTTTTCTGTGATGTACAAAAAGAGACAAAGATAAATCATTTTAGAACTTTTGCACCTTTAATGTGACCTATAAACTGTACAACTCAATTGAAAAACAAATTGAATTTTTTTAAGGGGGGGGAGTGAACATAAAAAACTAAAATAATGTGGTTGCATAAGTGTGCACACCCTCTTATAACTGGCGATGTAGCTGTGTTCAGATGTGAGCAATCACATTCAAAATCATGATAAATAGGATTCAGTACACACCTGCCATCATTTAAAGTGCCTCTGATCAACCCCAAAGAAAGTTAAGCTGTTCTAGTAGGTCTTTCCTGACATTTTCTTAGTCACATCCTACAGCAAAGGCCATGGTCTGCAGAGAGCTTCCAAAGCATCAGAGGGATCTTATTGTTTAAAATTTATCAGTCAGGAGAAGGGTACAAAAGAAAGACATTAGATATACCATGGAAAACAGTGAAGACAGTCATCAAGTGGAGAAAATATGGCGCAACAATGACATTACCAAGAACTGGACATCCCTCCAAAATTGATGAAAATATAATAAGAAAACTGGTCTGGGAGGCTGCTAAGAGGACTACAGGAACATTAAAGGAGCTGCAGGAATATCTGGCAAGTACTGGCTGTGTGGTACATGTGACTGCAATCTCCCGTATTCTTCATATGTCTGGGCTATGGGGTAGAGTGGCAAGACAGAAGCCTTTTCTTACGAAGAAAAACATCCAATCCCGGCTAAATTTTGCAAAAACACATCTGAAGTCTCCCAAAAGCATGTAGGAAAGTGTGTTGTGGTCTGATGAAACCAAGGTTGAACTTTTTGATCATAATTCCAAACAATATGTTTGGAGCAAGAACAACACTGCACATCACCAAAAGAACACCATACCCACAGTGAAGCATGGTGCTGGCAGCATCATACTTTGGGGCTGTTTTTCTTCAGCTGGAACTGGGGCCTTAGTCAAGGTAGAGGGAACTATGAATAGTTCCAAATACCAGTCAATATTGGCACAAAACCTTCAGGCTTCTGCTAGAAAGCTGAACATGAAGAGGAACTTCATATTTCAGCATGACAATGGCCCAAAGCATACATCCAAATCAACTAAGGAATGGCTTCACCAGAAGAAGATTCAAATTTTGGAATAGCCCAGCCAGAGCCCAGACCTGAATCTGATAGAAAATCTGTAGGGTGATCTTAGAGGGCTGTGCAAAGGAGATGCCCTTGCAATCTGACAGATTTGGAGTGTTTTTGCAAGGAAGAGTGGGCAATTATTGCCAAGTCAAGATGTGTCATGCTAATAGACTCATCCCCAAAAAGACTGAGTGCTGTAATAAAATCAAAAGGTGCTTCCACAAAGTATTAGTTTAAGGGTGTGCACACTTATGCAACTATATTATTTTAGTTTTTTATTTTTACTTCTCTCCACCTAAAAGACTCCAGTTTGTTGTTCAGCTGAGTTGCACAGATTATAGGTTACATTAAAGGTGGAAAAATGATTTCTTTGTCTCATTTTTGTATATCACAGAAACCTGACATTTTAACAGGGGTGTGTAGACTTTTTATATCCACTGTACATGTGTTTTTGTCTTTTTGTCAGTTTATATATCAGCTTTGTACCTTTTTAAGTAATATAAAAAAAACTCCTTGGTTGATTCTTCCTACACCCTGTCTTTTGCTCCAACATTTCAACCAGTTCTTGACACTGCGCAAATTTAATTTTCAGGTGATCCGTTGCTTAAGCTTTATTCTTTTTCAAAGAATGTCAAAGAAAAGTGCAAGCTGCAGAACTTGTATCTTGGATGTTTTAATTCTTTACAAATCAATTTATTATAAACGGAGGTGCTAAAAAGCAAGATTTTACATAATTCATAACTGTTTAAGCTTAACACCCACACAGCAGCTGTTTCATGCCTTTTGCTTGATGTCAAGACTGATGTTCTTGTTAGCGTTTACTGTATTACACAAGAAGGACGAACACTCCACTGCATTTTTTTTTTTCTTTTTTTTAACAATCAGGAGTGCTTTATTAACCACTTGCCCTCCAGAAGATTTAACCCCCCCTTCCTGACAAAGCCATTTTGTGCATTACGGCACTGCGTTTCTTTGACAATTGCACGGTCATGCAACCCTGCACCTGAATGAAATTAGTTTTTTTCCCCACAAATAGAGCTTTATTTCAGTTTTATTTGAATCGCCTGTGTGTTTATTTCTTGCGCTATAAAAAAAAAAAAAGACAATTTTAAGAAAAAAAAACAATATTTTTGACTTTTTGCTATTAAACATGTCCAGTAAAAAAAAATCAAAAAAAATCAAATTTCGTCATAAATTTAGGCCAAAATGTATTCTGCTACAGGTCTTTGCTAAAAAAAAAAAAAATATGAATACATGTAAATTAATTGGTTTACGTGAACATTATAGCGTTTACAAATGGCAATATATATATACTGGGCTTTTTTTTATTTTTTTTTTTATTTTTACTAGTAATGGCAGCGATCAGCGACTTCTAGCAGGACTGCAGCAGGCATTCTGACACTTGGGGGAACTGACTTGGTGTCACTGATATCCCCAGTGACACCAATACAGTGATCAGTTCTGATAAAAAACACTGACCCTGTACTAATGGCACTGGGCATGAAAGGGTTAACATGTTAGGTGATCAAAGGGTTAACTGTGTGCCGTTTTACAATGTGTTATGTGTTCGTGCTTCACTGTAAGCACACTGCTTTGCATGGCTGTGCTGTGCACAGCTATGCAAAGCAATGTGCAGGAGCTGATAGGGAGAAGAACTGTTTTGTTTACTAACAGTTCTCCCTGCCGTCGGAGATTCTTGACAATGACTTGGCGCCAGTGACCGGCCAGGACCTTGTGATTGACAGCCACGAATGGCGGCGCGGGTAGGGCAGAAATGCAAAATCATGTATATATACATGATTTTACGCACAGCTGCCGCCCTGTAGCAGTATTTTTGCTGTGGGGCGGAGCTTAAGCAGTTAAAGAAAGGCATGAGACATTACATTAGAACAGAAAAACAAAACAGTTGACATGGCATAAGATAGAAGAAGTTTAAAGGACCACGCATAATGTCTGGAAAAAATCCAGCATCACCACGTAAATACAGACAGAATGTAATACAGTTGCAAGAAAAAGTATGTGAACCCCTTGGGATTATGTGGAGTTTTGCATGAATTGGGCATAAAATGTGCTCTGAACGTCATCTAAGTCACAACAACAGAAGAACACAGTCTGCTGAACATAATACTACACAAACATTAGATGTTGCCATGGTTTAATTGCACATAACATGTAAACATTCACAGTGCAGGGAGGAAAAAGTATGTGAACCTTTGGACTTAATAACTGGTTGACCCTCCTTTGGCAGCAATAACCTCAACCAAACGTTTCCTGTAGTTGCAGATCAGACCTGCACAACGATCTGGAGTAATTTTGGACCACTCCTCTTCACAAAACTGTTTCAGTGTAGCAATATTCTTGGGATGTCTGGTTTGAATCGCTCTCTTAAGGTCATGCCACAGCATTTCAATCGGGTTGAGGTCAGGACTCTGACTGGGCCACTCCAGAAGGCGTATTCTGTGCTGTTGCAGCCATTGTTTTGTTGAATTACTTGTATGCTTTGGGTTATTGTCCTGTTGCATCACCCATCCTCTGCGGAGCTTCAGTTGGCGGACAGATGGTCATACGTTTTCCTGCAAAATGTCTTGATAAACTCTGGAATTCATTTTCCCATCAATGACAGCAATCCGTCCAGGCCATGAGGCAGCAAAGCAGCCCCAAACCATGATGCTCCCTCCGCCATGTTTTACAGTGGGGATGAGGTTTTGATGTTGGTGTGCTGTGCCTTTTTTTCTCCACACATAGTGTTATGTGTTCTTCCCAAACAACTCAATCTTGGTTTCATCTCTCCACAGTATATTTTGCCAGTAGTGCTGTGGAACATCCAGGTGCTCTTTTGCAAACTTCAAACGTGCTGCAATATTCTTTTTGGACAGCAATGGCTTCCCCTGTGGTGTCCTCCCATGTACCCCATTCTTGTTTAAT